CAGGAATGAAGAAAACTAAAGTTACCGTGTGCTTGTATAAGCTAGTGCTTTGTGCAAGCTAGAATTCCTGGGCGAGTGACATCCCAGGCTTTGCGGGTCTAGTCAGTTTGCCTCTCTGCATTGTGCAAGTGGTGGAAAATGCTGCCCTGCCGAAGTGCTGCAAGGAGAAGAAACTGGGGAGCTCATCGCCCTTTCCTTCCCAAAGCTGGAAAACTACGGTCACAGAAAGATACGATGTTTCTCCTGTGTGGGTGGGTAGGGTGTTTTTTTATTATTATTTTTTTCCTAAATTATTTAGATGACTGTATTAAGAATTCTTTAAAAATCTTAATTTCATTTCAAAATTTCTTTGCATATGTAGTCCTAACTTACTCCCAATCTCTTCCCTTGCTTCTTTTCAGAAGTTAGTGATCAAAGCAGCTTTTATCCCCTCCCTTCTTGTGAAGGCTATTTTACATACTTGTTGTAGGAGAAGATTTCAGAGAGGGTTCACTGTCAATACTTTATTTTTTTTTTTTATCACATGATCCATTTATTTGAGGAGAACAGAACAGTCCTGAGACTAGGTAATACTATCCTATGATAAAAGCCTTGACTAATCACTAGAGTTGATTTTGTTTGCTTGTTTTAAACATCCACCACATTTCCTGATGAGCGAGTGTAGTATGAGTGGAAAAGGTTCAACGCAAACACTGCCACTGCTGGCTACTGCTCGAGGCAGGGCTGTACCTGCCAGGCTCTCCTGATAGATTTGGTTTGGGGTTTAGTCCCCCCTGGGAATAAGTTACTAAAGCTAATTATGAAAGGAATTTGGAACTTAAACAAGACACTACAGGGAAAACATTGTGGAAAGCAATAAATCTTGTTCAGTTTGCACCGATCAGATGTATTGTACAATAACAATTTATATTTTTAGTCATTGCCCATTATTATTGATGAACACTTGGTGAAATATTTTTGAATGAGATGTTTGGGGTTTGTATGTGCATTAAAATTGTCTTTTTGTACTGTAAGTTACTGTTTGATTGGAATATTTTATCAAAACTGTCTCCCTGTGCCTTTATATTACAAGAAAGTTGTTTCCACAACTTCTAATGATATTAATAAAGAATACTTTAAGAACCTCATCTCACTGATGCTGCTTTTCAGATAAGTCAATATTTGAAATGTTTGTTTTAATGAATAATGCTTATTCATTAAAATGTGTAGTATTTAGTATCGTAGAATGCGCCAGTGAAAGGTGACAGGGGAAACCAGCTCCGTATGCATCTATATATTTATATTTTGAAGGAGGGGGTAAACTGTCTATTGCAGAGCATAGATGTTCAGTCAGGACTCTTCACTTTTTAGGAATCATCATTAGATTTAGATTCATTTTACTAAAGCAAATTCAAGCTATATGTTGCTATTTTATTAACTGAAAGATTGGATAGCTTTCAATTCTTCACATAAAGCGGGTTGATATCTTGTCCTGTTCCTTGAAGACTTTTTGTTGTTTTTTTTCTTGATTTTTTTTCTTGTTTTTGGAGTAATTTAGCTTGCTAATAGCAATGTCTTTTCAATGAATATTGTGATAGTTAATATACATTCATACTGTTTTTTTCTTTGTTGTTGTTTCTTTTATTCAGGATTTTCAGTGAGTAGTTTTATTTGAAATTAAATCCTGTAATGATTCCCTTCTGACTTCCTGTGTAAATTGTTTAAAGAAGGAGGAGGGAGGAGGAGAAAAAAAAAATTCTTCTTTTAGATGCAGTCCTGCTACTGGAACTTCAGGAACGGTGAACTTGCAAACTGAAACCTGTAAAATTCTCCAGTTACCTTCAGATGTCCAAGATAATCATAGTGCTAAGCAGCAGTGTAAATAATCACTACATGTTTTCTCTCAGCAGTTGTGTAACGTGATCCCTGCCACCTTTGTGGACTTCTCTTTCTTCTGTCTGACGCGTCTGGATTCAGTGTTAACTCTGTGCTCTTATCTCTTATTTTATCTGTGTTGTCTGGAGCCCGCACTTCAGGATAGCAGGATATTGTGTGTCTTTGAAAGTTTGTATGTGCATTTCAGCACAGGGAAGGATCTCTTGTTTTGCCTGCAGACTGGGCTGTTGTCACCCAGCTTACTGTGTGGGAATATGCCTGTTTTACCTGGGTGTTTATTTAGATGCGTTGATTTTACAGGCTACATGTCCAGAGGGTCGAACTTGGAGTGCTCAGGCTCTGCTTTGCTGAGGGCAGGTTCCGAGCTCTGGCGAGAGGAGACGGAGTCGGCTCCTGGGAACTGCCCTCCTGAGGGGAGCCCTTTCCATCCAGGGCCAGCACACGGGGTGCAGGGGAGCAGAACAGTCATTAACACTGAGCGTGCAAAGCTGGGTGAGGATGGCAGATCATGATCTGTCTTTTAGTTTCTCAAAATTCATTTCCTGGTGGTTACACAGCTCTAATTTGGAGCGTTAATTAGTGCTCTTAACAAACAAACAAAATCCTTACAATTTTCTCTTTTTTAGTATTTATCTGGCCCATGTCCCTTCATTTGTTCCCAGCTTAGACTTGACCAGAGAAGGAAATAACGGGGGTGGTGCAGCCGTAAGCCCGTTGATTTGCATGCTGCTGGTTGTGGTTGGGTTTTGCTTTTGTTTTGTTTAAAAACTTCCTGGTTACAGAGTGTTCTTTGCGGAGCGGAACTTGACAAGGAAAATAAACAGCGTGGCAGATATTTGTCCCAGGACTGTTTACCTTGCAGTCCTCCTCAGATGTGCAAATGGTTACAGTTGTCCCCAGTATTTTGGCAGGTGTTTTCACTATGCCATCATAAAGCTTTTTCTTTTTTTTCTCCTAATTACTTAAATACAGATTTATTTATATTAGTTAAATTAAATTTCTCTCTTTTAAGTATCCTATTACTTTCAGGATAATCACTCAGCACAATCATATTCACCAAGTATAAACAGACTTTCTATTAACATCCTATATATTTTTTTTTTGAATAATCGGCAACTGAAAGAATGAATTTCTTTTCTCATTACCTGCTGCTTTTGGGGAGGTGGTAATTAGGTAAAAAATCTGGTGACTGGAAGCATGGTATTGTTCGCTGTTTAAAACATCACTGAGTTTTGTGTTACATTACAAATTGTGGAACAGTATCCACTTTTTATAGGGCATTTACTTGCTAAGATATACAGCTGCCCAAATGCAATAAAATACATTATTAAACAAATTAAAAAACAAACAAATACATTGTCTTGTACCCTGAATGCACATGTGTGTATCTGTTGAAGTTGTAAGACATTGCACATGGATAGGATTTTTTGACTTAGTTTCTCTGGAAGGAACCATGTGCTAACGCTGCTCTCTGCAACCAAACCAAGATGTGGAAGTGGGGGAGTAATTGAGAGATTTGCTGTCGTCTTTGAACTAAAGTGTCAATGTAAACTCCAGGCTCCAATAGGTAAAGATGTTGCTCACCAAATAGGGAAACTGCATTGAACAAACTTTCTCTGAAATCTTGCATTGATCATGCATCTATGTCTTTTATTGCCTGTCTTTTTTTTTCAGTTTTTATTTGC